CCTATTTCTGTATACTTTTTGAAGATTGCTCATCTTTGATTTCCAAGGATTTCAACTATTTTCACCAAAATAGATTTTTTGGTTTTGGTTAGATGTTCCGTGATTTTTTTTTTAAGGGGTGCATTCCTGTGTGCATGGGTTGGGGCTGAGGAAGGGGTTGTGGGCAGTGTGCAGTGGGATGAGAGCAGCAAAGGAAGACGGTCCTGATGGAACTGTAGGCTCTGGCACTTTCCCCGTGCTGATGTGCTGGCATTCTTGACCTTGGTTGCCATCAGTCACCTGGCAGCTTTTTTTATGTTTGCATTCTCTTCCTCAGCCCTCCCTTATTTAAATATTTAGCTTATTTATTTGAAAGGCAGAGAAAGGGAGAGACAGAGTAAGAGAGTTTCCATCCATCGTTTTGTTCCCCAAATGACTCAGTGGCCAGAGCCAGGACCCGGGAACTTCATCCGGGTCTCCAGTGTGGTTTCAGGACCCAAGTCTTTGTACCTTCACCTGCTGCTTTCCCCGGGTGCGTTAGCAGGGGGCTGAATTGAAAGTGAAGAAGCTAGAACTCACACTGGCACTCTGGTTGTTTGGTGCCAGCATTGCAAGCAGCAGCTTGGCGCACTGTACCACAGAGCCATCTCCCTGGGCTGCTTTCACACTCAGGGTGCCCCAGCTGCACTCAAGGTAAATCCTGTCATGATCTGGGATACTAAGGCTGAGTTGTCGCACCCTGGAGGGAGAGGCCTTGGAGCAGCTTCTCTGTTGCTCATTTACAGCCCAACCCGTGTTCTTTGTTTTAGTTTAAATATAGAGTGCATGAATTAGGAATTAAAATATTAGAACCAGTCAGAAGTCACTTAAGTAATAATTGAAGATACTGATTTTATTTGAATAACATATATTTAAACAATATTACAAAAAGGTTCACATATAGTTATTCACTTTCTGAGGCACGGAAAGCTATGTTTAGATTTTTATGTGTAATCATATAGAGTGTGTAGGGGAAATTTCCTAATTACCTGGGTGATTGTGCTCAAAGCATGTCTGCTTTAAACGTGTGTTTCTGTGATGTCCTTGGAAAGGGGGGTGTGATTCATTCGGTGACGTGACCTTGTCCTTCATTTCTGCTTCTTCAGGGAGCACAAGCTTTGCTGAACTGCTCTTCAAGTTCCAGCAGTTGAAAATGCCCGTGCGTGCTTTGCTGCGACTCGCTCCTTTGCTCCTTGGAAGTCCCCAGCCGATGGTCATGTGACTGTTCTGACGGCAGAGCCACCCCGAGATGAGGCAGCAGTGCAGCAACGAGACCAACCGCAGAGCTGATGAGACCTTGATTAGTTTTATAACATAACTAGAGGGAGATGAGCTACACAAGCCTCAGTGTATTTTATAAATCTGTGTGCTTTAAATATTCCAAGGAATTTGTTGCTGTCCACATTAATATTATATGACATAAAAGTGAGTTAAAATTACTTTTGTAAATAAATTTTTTTTGGTTTGTTTTCAGAAATCTTGATGATTGCTTTGGTTTTGGACTTGAGAGAGCGGTTGGCGCAGGGTGGGTGCGCGGCGACCGTGCTTGACATGAGCGTTGAATGAAGCTGTGAAGTTTTACTTTCTGCATTGGTGAAGAGCCTTGCACATTTCCTGAGATGCCGTGGTTGTCCTGTTTGAAGTGGTTTACGCTTCCCGTGACCACCTCCAACAGGGGCAAGGAGATTAAGGCCCAGTGTCCCAAATTCCAGCACAATTACAAGAAAACGGGGCTTGCAGGACACAACTAAGGTGAAATGGGAGGGGTGGAGGCCTAACTCATTGAGGTCGGGGGCGAGTGCTGCTGCTCGCTGGGCGTCCCTGCTGAGGTGAGGGCACCGTCTGCGAGTCCAAGGAATGCTCCCCAGGAGCCACAGCAGCTGGCACCACGCTCATGGCCTTCCAGCCTCACTCAGAAAGACACTTCTTTTTTTTTTAAGATTTATTTATTTTTATTGGAAAGGCAGATATACAGAGAGGAGGAGAGACAGAGAAGAGGACCTTCCGTGTGATGGTTCACTCCCCAAGTGAGCGCAACGGCTGGTGCTGCACCAATCCGAAGCCGGAAGCCAGGAGCTTCCTCTGGGTCTCCCACACGGGTGCAGGGTCCCAAAGCCTTGGGCCGTCCTCGACTGCTTTCCCAGGCCACAAGCAGGGAGCTGGATGGGAAGTGGGGCTGTCGGGATTAGAACCAGCTTCCATATGGGATCCTGGCGTGTGCAAGGTGAGGACTTTAACCACTAGGCTATTGCTTGGGGCCCAGAAACACACTTCTGTTTCTCAAGCCCTCCCCGGGATGCAGTATTTTGTATGGTAGCCCAAGGAGCCGAGTAAGTGAAATCTCTCAATAGATAAAACAGTGGCATTTTTAAGTGCAAACTGAAACAAGGGCGAATGTCCCCACCTGCGTCCTGGCAATGGCTGGTGTGGGTTCTCCTCTGCGAGAGGCGGCTTCGTCGCACAGGCGTGTGAGGTGCAGTGGTTCTCTCTACACGTTTCATGTTTTACATTCCCGCCTGGCCCCAGTCTCACTCCCAGCTGGGGCTGGCCAAGAGACTTAAAAACAAATTCAATTCTTTTTGTACTGAAATAGATTTTCTCTTAATTAAAAATAGAAGAAAGAATTAGGTTCATTTTTTCAAATGAAAATTCCATTTGAATCAATATTCATAGAGCTCAGCATCTGGACAGCTGTTGCTGTCTTCACTTGCAGCTGTTTATGATTGACGGGCTGCTGTCCCCTGAAGAAAGAATGGTTTGAAAGGCCGTTATTTACACATCCACAAACTCACATACGGGGGAGAATTGCCTTTCAAATGTTGTCAACAAAAGCGAACCAGGCTATGAAAGACGGTAGACAGACTGTGGACATCTGGAAGTAGCATTTTATTGGGCATTGGGATTAGCTGGCAGGTGGCAAGGAGGAGGTCCTGGGCAGTCTGCTTTTGAGTGAGTATGCTACGGTTGAAGAAACCAACCAGGAGGGTGGAGTCAGGCCACCTGGCACGCCCAGCTCTCAGCAGCTCTGGGAAGAGGAGCTGGAGACCCAGGGCCAACAGGGACATTTTCGGCCCAGAAGCAGCACGTGTCACTTCCAGTTAAAGGTCACAGGCCGGGCCTCGTCATGCTGCTCCGCCTCATGCCCGGTTGGGAGGAAAGGCTGTTGCCGGTGAGGATGAGTAACCTCTGGCAGTCACTAGCAGGCCCCTGTCCATCTTTTCTGCTTTCACAGCCAGAAGGTAATAAACTCTGCAACCATATGCACACATACCCTCAGATTCCATTTCATTGCTGCCGGTCAGTGGCATCTGCTTGCCTCGGGAGCTCCAATAAAGAGCTGGAGTCCAGAGCTTGGAAGCCACTTGAAGGCATACACACTGGGCTTCTGCAGGAGACTCCTGGCTTCAGCCCTGGGAACTTGCCCTCTGTGCTGCCTAATCCTAAATAAAATGCACCTTTTCACTCTTGGTCTAGGAACGGGGGAGCTCCACAGCTTACAGTGAGGGGTCTTTCCCAACTCAAGACACCCCAGAACATTCGAGAACGTGAGGGTTTTCCATCTCCATTTGAAGATCATGATGGAAGCCACTCGGTGGCAGGCCGGCATGTCGGCCAGGCACAGTGAGAGCGGGAGCCAGGATCGGGAGTAGAAGCCAGAGCCCGTGGGAGCTGTGACGGGAACTGCAGATGAAGGGTTGGATGTTGATTCTGAGAGAAGTCCAGGTGTTACCTCCCCCGTGGGGTGGGGTGGAGAGCCCCTCTTCTTGATTCCCCCATCCTCAAACTGGCCACATTTTATGGGAAATGTGTTACTGTGGGGAGGGGACAGGGTCTGGTCTCGCACATGTCTCTAGCGCATGCAGTGTGCGAGCAGCCGAGGGGGCAGCGGGGGCGTGGCTGGAGCAGTGTCTATCCTGACAGGTGCACTAGGCTGGTCCCTACATTTAATGCACCCTGCAGTACCCAATCTGCTTGCAAGGGCTGCCCTGGACCCACCCCACTGTGAAATATACTGGCCACTCATTACTCTCACAAGCTGCAGAAGAGCCCTTTTAAATGAAAAGGCCCCTGAAAAGATCCCTCACTCGCTGGTGGGTAAGGATGGATGGCCCATCTTGAACCCTCTTGCTTTGCTCTGAGCACTCGCTTGGGAGAGACTGGGATGAGTAGTAGAGGCTGCTGCAGGAGGACAGGTACAGGGGAAGGCACGGGTCAGCCCTCAAGGCTCCTTAGAGACAGCATCTGGTCCTGGCCCCTCGTTCTACATGGAGACCCCCAAGGCTCAAGAAAGAGGCTGTCCCTAAGCTGTGCCACCTCCCCCATCACAACCCTCACCAGGCTGGGCTTCCCGAGCACCAGCATTCCGGCCTGCCGTTTTAGGAGGCAGTGACTCCACGCATGCTCAAAGCCGAATTTATGAACACGCTCGAAAGGCTGACAAATGAATTCTTCCTTCTACACACTTCTATCCTTGTCCCCCCTTGGCTGTTTAGCCACCTTAGTTTTTCCAAGGCCAGACGGGCCTGGGAACTGCTTGTGCTTCTTGAAGAGACACAGCATGCTCTCCGCGGGCCCAGCCTGGCACAGCCTTGCTGTATGCAGCAGCAGGTCACGACACGTGGGAGGAGAGTGTAACATTTATTTGCCTTTCTCCTACCAAGAGCCACAGTGGCAGCAGCTCCGTTTTCTGGTAGGGGTGGGCACTGGTGTTGGTCCTGGATGGACACCTGCAGTTTCCAACTCTGATCGGAAGCCTGCAGTCTCGCATCCTGGGAGCATTACTGCACGCACAGCGCTTGATTCCTTGGGAGGACTTGGATCAGCCACACCTTCTTTCCCAGAGTCCTGTCTGTGACACGGAGTGACAGACCGCCTCCTCATGCCTACTCATTTTGTTGTTGTTGTATTTTGAGGGGCACCAAGGAGGGGGCTGGGACCCACACTCACCTGGCCTGCCAGGAGGCGTTCCCAACCCCAGGAACCTAGGGAGTGCACTGGCGCTCCCGGCTCCAGACCCAGTGGTGAGGATTCTGGGCCTGTATCTGCAAAGGAAATGCACAGGGGTTGAGCGCAGATAGGGCAAGGGTCCAGCCTCCCCCAGCGTGTGCCCCCACACCCACCTCCTCACACAGCTCCGGGGTGACCCAGGCGCGGTGGTCCATGGCGTGGAAGAACTCCAGCTTCAGCTTCAGGAACTCCTTGTAGAGATCTGGCCAATGCTCCTTGCCCAGCAGGAACTGGAAGATGCTGTGCTTCGACGTGGGGTTGTCCTCCTCCATGTCCGAGGCGATATAGCTGCCAGCAGGAGCGGGGAGCAAGGAGCAACCTCCGGCAGCACCGGAGGGAGAGGCCTCGTGCCCAGGGCAAGTGTGTGTTCAGGACAACGGGCTTGGAGAGAGCAACGCTACGGGTGACCCCATTTCCCAAGGAAACTTGGTCTCTACATTCAGCATCTCAGGGCCTCTTTCTCCCCACTCCCCCTCTCCTCCATGGCCTTGCAGCTGGGTGGTACTGGGCTTGGCACAAGGGGCGTCGCTGAGCCTCCCCTTCCCCTGGGGTGGGGAGACTGGGGAGTTTGTGCCTATTTTAGGGTTGGTCCACAGGGGGCGCTCACAGGGCCAGGAAGAAGTGGATCCTGTTGTAGAGGTGTCCTGGCAGCCCCACGCGGCCAAAGTACTCCACCACCATGGCCAGCAGGTACTGTGGGGACGGAGTGAGCACCCTGAGGGGCCTGGAGCACCCACCGTGGCCCCTTGCTCCTCTTCCGCAGGCCCAGCCCAACATCGCCCGTCCCAGTTCCCCGCCCGCCAGAGGCACCTGGCCACAGGACCTTGTCAGACACCTTGAGGAAGATGTCTGCTTCCAAGAAGCTCTGGATTACAGGGTCCTCTGCAAGGGAAAGTAGGGTCGTGAGACCGGCGCAGTCCCTAGGTGTGTGTGTGGTGGGGAGTGGGGGAGCCCCTGGTATCGCAGGGGGCAGGGGAGCAGCTGCTTGGACAGCTGTGAACCTGGACTACACTTGCCACAGCTGTGGCCCTGGTCCCCGGCCCCGGTCACAACCTCTCCCACACTAATGACCCCTGGCTGCAGGATGTAAATTTGGTTCCGGAATCGTTCACGCAGGGTCACTGTGGGATGTGATGAATGTGTTCAGACTGCAGAACTTGACTCTGTTCTTTGAAGGACAGCAATTGGCCTCAACGCTAAGAGCCCTCAGGGCCCCTGGCCTCTGCCACGGGGTGTGGCTTCAGCTGCCAGGCTGGCAGTGCTGGGGACCGGGAGCCCCAACTCCCTGGGGTCCTCCCTGCTCCAGGGAAGATGTTAGGATTAGCTGAAATCACTGTGGCATGGGTGACTGAACCACTGCCCATGCTGCCTTGTTCATGCTGAGTTAGCACACTTGTGCCTCTGCCATGCTGTGCTGCAACGAGAAGGTCCCACAGGGCCCCTGGCTGTGCCCTGGGCCTTGCCAGCCACCCGGACTGTTCCTGTTGATGACCCAGTCTGTGTCGTTCAGTTACAGCAGCAGAAAGTGGACTAGGATAACAGCGCTACTCTCCAGCAGGTTGGCCAGAGGGAATCAGGGGCCACGACAGGAACCACCCAGCACACCCACGACAGGACCAGGGCGTGCTCTGGAGCTTGACCGGGTTCAGAGGGAGGTGTCTGAGCCCCAACCCCTCCCTGCAGCTCTCTGTCCAGGAGGGCCGTCCCGGACACTCGGCCCTCCCGCAGAGCACACCTAGCAGTCGGTAGAAAGCCTCCTGGTCCTCCAGGCGGTAACTGGGTTTTCTCCTCTTGTTCATTTTGAGTTTCATTCCCTCGACGTGATTGACAGTCCATATGTTCTTCCTCTGGCCCCTCCTTCTCCAGGACTTCAGGTCGGAGACAGAGGGTGGGGGGCTGTTCCTACTGAGAGCTGCGGGAACCCCAACATGCTGGTGAGTATGAAGGAAGCATGCGTGGGAGGGCCTGGGCCCATCACTTGCAGCTCAGTGAGGACAGGAGGTGGTCGATTGGCAGTAGAGGCGAGGAAGTCGAGGGGTGACCGAGGGCACACACCTGCCTTGGTGTCTGCTAGCTTGCTTGTCTTGGGGTCCCCCTTCTCCCTGCTTGCTTGCTCAGGATCAGCCACTGAAGGTGCAAGACTGGAGGTCACCGGGCTGTTGTCCTGGGACGCTGCAGGGAGAGAGGACTGTGCTTGACACCCAGGGACAGACCCTGGCCACGCTGGACTCTGCGCGGCTCCCTCACCTGGAGGGTTTTAACCTGAGCCATCTTGGGGACGCAAGAGGGGCAGGATGACGGACTCTTGGCTTCTGTCCCCAGCGCCCCCAGTGACTGGGGTTTACCTGTCTGCCTTCGACAGAGGGCGCCCTCTGGTGCCTCCTCCTGCACATTGCCTCCCGGGGAAGACACTGCCGAGAGAAGTCCAGTGTCTTCCATTGCTGCAAAAGTGAATGAGAATCAGGCCTCCTGACTCGCCTGCCCTCCTTTTCCGCAACCCTGCAGAACTTCACTCGGGAGGCCAGAGGGCAGAGGGTGGGCTGGTGCTGGGCCATAATGGGCCGTCATCTTTAATCAGGCAAAGATGAGGGCGAAGGGCCTGGGGCCTGGCACACCTGCCTTCCTGCTCACACACAGCCCCTTGGCCCTGACCCCATTTGTGCTGGGTTCTGCTGGCTTTGAACAATCTCTGAGGCAGCTGCTGAGGGGCTCAGAGGGATCCCCTCTTCTCTGAGTGTTAGCTGTCCTGATGAGCTACTGTCAGTTCACGGGCAGTTCAAGCCTGGCCAGAGTGACTCACTCCCATCTGGAATGGCCCTGGGCGTGCTGGAGGCTGCCGGGCTGGCCTTGCTCATCCTCAGGGCTCCTTCCTGCAGTTCCACATTATTCTGCACCTCTCCAGCACCTCTCTTGTTCTCTCTCCCCCTGCCAAGTTCAAGATGTGTTTCTATTCCTGCTGTGTGACTGGGCTAAGCTTCCCACAGCTTCTGAGATCCCTTGGAGGAGTATGGGTCAGACCCAAGATCCAGTCTACCGCAGAGAAGGGTGGGCACCCACCGGGTTCCCCGAAGCTGGGTTTCTGCTTACCCAGAGCACAGTCCCGCAACAGGGTGAGAAGAGCTCTGACCGTATCCAAGTGTCCAGGGCTCAAGCGGCTGCCAGGATTCCGGAGCCCCCGTCCTGATTCACTGATGACATCACCCCATTCCACGAAGCATGGCTCTTTGGTATCTAAAAAGAATTCAAAGAACAAGGCTGCGAGCCCCCAGGGGAAGGGACTGGAGCATAATGTCACCTTCATTTATTATGAAATGGCCACCATCAAAAGCAGGCGAGGTTCGGGGCGGGGGGAGCGAGAGCAAGAGCTCTTCCATCCACTGTCCCCCAGCTGCCTGCAGCCGGGACTGAGCCACGCCCAATGCAGGAAGCAGGAGCAGAAGCACCATCTGGGTGTCCCACGTGAGTGCCAGGGACTCAAGCACTTGAGCCACCAACTGCTGCCTCCAGGGTCATGTTAGCAGGTCCATCCCAGGACCTTGCATAAGGGGCGCAGGCATCTGAAATAACAGGTTGGGTCTGGCGCAGTAACCTAGCAGCTAATGTCCTCGCTTTGCATATGCCAGGATCCCATATGGGTGCTGGTTCTAATCCCAGGAGCCCCACTTCCCATCCAGCTCCCTGCCTGTGGCCTGGGACGCAGTCGAGGACGGCCCAAAGCCTTGGGACGCTGCAACTGCGTGAAAGAGCCTGAGAAGCTCCTGGATCCTGGTTTCAGATCGGCTCAGCTCCAGCTGTTGTGGCCGCTTGGAGAGGAATCATCAGACAGAAGATCATCCTCCCTGTCTCTTCTCCTCCTCTCTCTATATCTGACTTTCCAATAAAAACAAAAAAACAAATCTTTAAAAAATATTTTTAAAATGAAACAGCTGGTTAACCCATGGCAGCATGATGCCCAATTCCAAAACTACCCTCCCTGTTCTTCAAACCTCATGTTGCATTTAATCAAAAAGATTGAATGATTCTAGATGACATGACACATCCCTGTTTCGGGAAGTTGAGAGGGTGCACAATTAAAAAGATGATTACTCCCTCATTCTCCACAGTAATTATTAACATTTTTATTTTATTCTAGTTTGTGTCCATAATGTTTTATGAGAATTTTAAAATTTGTATATTTTGAAATACAGACTCTCATGCAGAGCTCCTATAAGCCCCATTCACCAAAATTTTCCCAGTGCCAACAGCTTGCACAGTCTTGGTAAACTATCATAACAGGCAACCGAGATTGCGGCTACCGAGAGACAAGTTCCAGTTCCAGGACTCGGCTCTGTCGACACCCTCACGGTCACCGCTGAGTAACGAGACTCCTGGTGCCTTGCACTGACACTGAGCCCATCAGGCCTGAGTGGGGTGTCCGGATGTTAGCTGGCCTTGTCTAATGTCACCAGGCAGTGATGGTTTGGTGGGCACTGGAGAGCGGAGGTGGCAGGATGCCCCTTACAACCAGGGGAAGGTGAACGTCTGGGTTTTCCACCATCCTGGCTAATTTATATAAGACAGATATTTGAAAAATATTTTTGAAAAATATTTGAAAAACATTATTTCTGCCACTCCCCAAATCCAATATTTAGTTGGGATGGGTAGCTATGGTATAGAAGTCACAGACTTCTCCGGATCCTTTGGGTAGACACACAGGGCTTTCCCTGGAGCTCTGTCTGGGACTGGCGGTGCTTCTGGCTTCTCCAGCACTCACTCCCAGACTTGAGAAGGTAAGAAGACAACTGAGAACCCACCGTCCTTGCGCATGGCCTGGGGTCCTTGTACACGGCCTGGGGTCCTTGTACACGGCCTGGGGTCCTTGTACACGGCCTGGGGTCCTTGTACACGGCCTGGGGTCCTTGTACACGGCCTGTGGTCCTTGTACATGGCCTGGGGTCCTTGTACACGGCCTGGGGTCCTTGTACACGGCCTGGGGTCCTTGTACACGGCCTGGGGTCCTTGTACACGGCCTGGGGTCCTTGTACACGGCCTGGGGTCCTTGTACACAGCCTGGGGTCCTTGTACATGGTCTGGGGTCCTTACGCAGTCTCTGCGTTTCCAACCTTCACCCGGTTTCTTCGTATGTTTTCAGGATTCTCCAGAGGTGGAGAGGTTCGTCTTTTCCCCTTTGCCTGTAACGAGACATCCAGGAGAAGAGCTTTTTTTTAAATTAAAATTTGAATTTTTAAATAAAGCCATTGTGGATCACAAACTTCATTCAAGAAAGGAAGTGGTGGGTGTGAAGGCAGCCTGGAGGAGAAAACACGGCCTCTCATTAGGAAGAAGTGGAATCTGAGACCGCGTGTGATGATTGCCTGCACTCACTCCCCTCTCCCCTTTGCTCCGTCCCTGGTTAGACCGCACAGTAGGACGGGAAGACGGCCTCAGTTAGCCTGTCTTCCTGGGCTGGGGCTGAGTAGGAGGCATCTGTGTTTAAGAAAGCAAAGAATTCTGATCACCAATCAAAGGAAAGTGCTTGGGTACGTACATCTCATGCAAGCTGTGCCGAGTAAACAAACGCATCTCACATAGAATCTGTCCGATTCTCTTTATGAGGAAGTCTTTGAAATGCTCGTGAAAAATACGAGGCCTGGGGATTGGCGGTGTGGTGTAGGGAGGTAAGCCACTGCTCGTGATGCTGGCAGCCCACCCAGCTCCCTGCTACGCGCCAGTGCCCCTGGGAAAGCAGCAGCAGAAGGCGCAGAGGCTCGGGTCGCTGTCCCCATGTGGAAGGACAGGAAGAAGCTCCTTGTCTTTAGCTTGTTTCAGACTTGGACACTGTTCCCCCTTCTCTCTCTGTCTCTCCCTCTCCATACGACTCCTTTTTCACACAAACAAATCTGAAAATAAAAATCCATCATGAATGAAGTTCAAAAGTTTTTATATAAAAATAAAGTTTTATCCCATTTTGCGCAAACTTTTGGAAACACCTAATCCCACATATATAGCACCATTGACATGAAACAGAGAGCAGATGTACGGTTCCAGTTTGGGCGCAGGAGGTGGCTATGGTTACAGAAGAGAGAGTGTGAGGCTGCCTGATAGGAAAGTGCTGTGTGTGTGTGTGTGTGATGGTCACGTGAATCACACGCAAGAAAGCCTCACAGTGCTACATGCACAGATACACTTGAGTGTGCTGAAACCTACATGCCAAAAAGCATCACAGCATCACACACCCACACACACACACACACACACACACACACACACACACACATACACGCGCGCGCGGCCACCAGAGTGGGTTTGGAAGTGAGAGTTCACCAACCAGAAACTTCCCTTACCCTGGGGGGTGTTGGTTATGATCCCGTAGGGCTGCAAGCTGTCACTGTGGGGAAAACCGGTGAAGGATCTAAGCGCTCTTTGCGTTAGTTCTTATCATAATAGCCTAGTTGGTAATGATTCCAAAACCAAACCTTAAAAAAAAAAAAACAACCACATTTATTTACTTTTATTTGAAAGGCAGAGTTACAGAGAAGAGAGAGAGACATTTTTCATCTGCTGGTTCACTCCCCAAATGGCTGCAGCAGTTAGATCTGGGCCAGGCAGAAGCTGAGAGCCAGCAGCCGCTTCTGAGTCTCTCCTGTGGGTGCAGGGAGTCAAGCACTTGGGCCATCCTCCACTGCATTCCCAGGCTGTAAACAGGGAGCTACATGGAAAGGGGAGCAGCCAGGACATGAACTCGCACCCATATGGGTTGCTGGTGCTGCAGGCTGAGGCTTTGTTTGCTATGTGGGCCCCCAAATCAAATCTTTTTATAAATGGAAAAAAGAAAGAATTTTGAGGGGGCCTGCATGGTGCCTTGGTGGCTAATCCTTGGACTTGTGGTGCTGGCATCCCATATGGGCACCAGTTCTAATCCCAGCAGCCCCGCTTCCCTCCAGCTCCCTGCTTGTGGCCTGGGAAAAACAGTTGAGGATGGCCCAAAGCCTTGGGACCCTGCAGCCACAGGGGAGACCCGGAAGAAGTTCCTGGGAGTGGACCATTGGATGGAAGATCTTCCTCTCTGTGTCTCCTCCTCTTTATAAATATGCCTTTGCAATAAAAATAAATAAATAAAATCTTTTAAAAATTAAAAGAAGAAAGAAAAAAAGAAAACATAATAAATCTTAAAACAAAAAAGAAATTTGTAGTTTTGCACCCCTGCCTAGCAATCCCCCTTAACAATCTCCCTTTCCCGTGCAAGCTTTCTTACTCTTCCTTGGTGTCAGCGAAAAGGAAATGGCTGGTCTCGTTGGGCTTCTGCCCCAGGGTCTCTGGTGTACACAGTGAATTGTTTTATTTTTGATTGTAAAACGAAAATGACAGGTGTTTTCCTCACCTGTGTCTTTGCTTGAGGTATAATTTAGTTCTCATTCTGGGGTCTTGGCGAGAATCCGGGTTCCTCAGCTCCGGGAGGCGGGGCGGATGATGTGAGGCACCCGGGAGGCCGGCGGGGAGGCCGACGGAGAGGCCAGCAGAGGCCAGCGGGGAGACCTCCTGGGGTCCCCGCCGCTCCGCTTCCCCTGGAGATGGCTGTGACCGTCCACGGCCCACCGGCTGCTGCTGCGGCTCCTGCTAGCAGGGCGCGGGGCCGGCTGAGGGGAGCTGGCCAGGCTGCCTTCGCGCTTCCCCTCATGGGGCGGTCTGGTCGGGGGGCGGCCTGGTCGGGGGGCGGCCTGGACATGGGGCGGCCTGGACACGGGGCGGCCTGGACACGGGGCGGCCTGGTCGGAGGGCGGCCTGGTCGGGGGGCGGCCTGGTCTGGGGGTGGTCTGGTCAGGGGGCGGCCTGGTCGGGGGTGGTCTGGTCAGGGGCGGCCTGGTCCCGGGGTGGCCTGGTCCCGGGGTGGCCTGGTCGGGGGGTGGTCTGGTCGGGGGGGCTGCCTGGTCGGGGGGTGGTCTGGTCGGGGGGGCTGCCTGGTCGGGGGGGCTGCCTGGACACGGGGCGGCCTGGTCGGGGGTGGTCTGGTCGGGGGGCGGCCTGGACATGGGACGGCCTGGTCGGGGGGCGGTCTGGTCGGGGGGCTGCCTGGACACGGGGCGGCCTGGTCGGGGGGTGGTCTGGTCGGGGGGCGGCCTGGTCGGGGGGCGGCCTGGTCAGGGGGTGGTCTGGTCGGGGGGCGGCCTGGTCGGGGGGCTCCCTGGTCGGGGGGCTGCCTGGTCGGGGGGCTGCCTGGTCGGGGGGCTGCCTGGACACGGGGCGGCCTGGTCGGGGGGGCGGCCTGGTCGGGGGGCGGCCTGGTCGGGGGGCGGCCTGGACATGGGGTGGCCTCGTCGGGGGGCGACCTGGTCAGGGGGTGGCCTGGTCTGGGGGTGGTCTGGTCCCGGGGCGGCCTGGTGGGGAGGATGCCTGGTCCCGGGCCTCGGGAGGCGGCAGGGCAACCCAGGCGAGTGCGACCCAGGGCGGCCAGCGCGCGCCTCCAAGCGGCGGTCCCACGCTGTGCTGCCCGGAAACTTCTCCAAGAATCCTTGGTTTCTGCGCCAGTGCAGCCAAAGGCCGAATCCTTGGCCCCTGGACCTGCGGGAGCGCCGGCACCGCGTGGGCAGCACGTGAGCTTCTGCACGAGTGGGCTACGAGGCCTGCGACCCCCGGCTCTGGGCACGTCGGAGCGCCCCCTCGGAAGAGCGGCTTCAGTGAGCACAAAGCAGGTAGGCCGGTGATGGCTGCGTGCAGGCGCTGCCCCCTAACTCGTGATTCCATACAACAGCTCTTTGCATGGCATTTGCTTTTGTTGGCAATCCAGACATGATTTGAAGCAAGTGAGAAGATGTATGTGAATTGTCTAAACCCTTTGCGTTTTATGTAAGCGACTTGAGCACCTGCAGAATGGAGGCTGCCCCTTTCTAGAAAGCTCCGTGCCTTCTGGTTTTCTAGTCTCAGTCACCCACCCAGGGATGGCAGGGCTGCCCTGTGGCATCCTCCTCCGTGTGAGGCCCTGCTGTGTGGGCTGAGGTGCGGGACTCAGGGTGCTGGCCATGGTTTCTGAGTTCTGCAGCTTTAGGAGGTGCTGGTGGCGGCAGCAGCCGCGCCTTACAGGGGAGGGCCCTCTCCCCCACACCCCCTGATTGATGTGTGTGTTTATCCGGTAATAAGCCATTTATGCCTTGCACTAGCATGAGGGAAGTTGGGTGTTCACAAGTGGGAACTATGCCCCACCGGGCTGCTTTGGGCTGTTGGGAAGTGGAACGGTAACTCTGGTCTTTGGGCGCCCCCTGGGGGCCAGAAATGGGACCGACCTGGCCAGGAGTCCAGAGGACGAGGTCTCTGCTTGAGAGCCAGAAGCCGGGGCTGGAATCCCAAGGGTCCGGCCTTTCCTCACGTGCCTGCGACTCTGCTTGCAATTGCTAGTGTCTGTTTGACCGGCTAGGGTTCTGTCACCTCCTACGCCTTTTCGGTTGGTGGGTGGATCCACACACACACCCATGTACGTGTATGTGAGTATGTGTGAGTGTGTGTTCATCAGTGGAATACACGCGCGACAGGAGGTGCACAAGTCACTCGCCGGACCCACACTGCTTGGCGTGTTCAGTGTGTGTACATGGGCGCGGGTGGAGTGGTCAGGCGGAGCCTCAGAAGCCGCCCTGCCAAGCCTGCTTTGTCATGCTTGACCTCCCGAAGGTCCTCGGCCTGGGTCACCCTGAGCGCTGCTGGCCTTCGTCGCCTGGCCGCCCGCTGTGGCCGGGCTCTGATTAAGCTGGCCTTCTCATTCCCTGGCCTCGTGGCACCCAGAAATGGCTGATCATTTCTTGAATGGCAGAAACACAGTGGGCTAAAAAGGGACCAAGGAGGTGCAGCTTCTTGGCCTGCGCTCAAGTGCAGTGCCTGCGGATTCCGCACGTTCTCAGCTGTAACAGGCTTGACCAAGTTGGGGTGACTTAGGGAAATGGTTAAGGGACTTAACCAGT